TAATAAAAACTAACGAAAGGGTATTATTCGATAATTTTAAAAATTTGGGGTCTTAATTGGCAGAAAATGATTTTTGCGAAACCCTGTCGGCGTAGCGGCAAAAAATCGACCAGTTTTTAGCCATCGGCCGATATTTTCCTTCGCCGTCCCGTTCCGTCCCTTATATACTCTTCGGTTTCTCTCTGCGCCCGAAGCTCACTGATTTTACACTCTCAATTCGTTTCTTCACTCGAGAGCCTTATTGTGACGGTATGAATCGCTTCCACCTCCCTGCTCTGCTTTTGATTTTGTTTTCTGTTTGGATAAATGTTGGGTTTCGTTGATTCTCTGGAAATGGGTCTTATATTAGGTTGATTGTTGTGTATGAATTATTTTTCTTCTTTCAGGGGGATTGTGCTCCATGGGTTTTTCTTCCACAAGTCTCCAGGCCTGTTGCTCGTTGCCTTTAGGACTGAAAACCTCAAAAACTACAAACTATGGTGCTTCTGCTCCTGCATCATCTCTTTCTTTCCACGGAAATTCACAGCATAATTGGCGTTTGTCATCAAAATTGTTAAGTAAGGTTCTAAAGTCTGAATTTTTAAAATTTTTTCGTGGGGTTGTTTTTCTCTTCTTGCTGCTTTATTGGGAATGTCTCAGTACATTGAACTGTTGCTAGAGAGGATATAGTTTTTTATTCTAATAGTAACGGTTTCTATAGATTTGAAACTTCAATTAGTGTTATGAATTTGGCAATGTAATGGAACTTGAACCCATTGTATGACCGACCGTATGATGATGCTTTGCTAACAAATTGAAGCATCCATGAGGGCATGTACCCCTTTAACTGACCCTCCTGATCCAAGTCCATATAGCAAAAAGTAGTTCATTTACATCTCATGCTGCTTCTTTAAGGTGTGGGGGTTTTATGAGCTTCTTTTGTATATGAGATAGATGTAAATGGATAGTCTTTGTTGATGCATTCTTGACAGTAAAGCCTTTTCAAAAGACAAGTTTCCATCCCAAAACTTAAGTTATTTAGTTTGTACCCTGAGGGATAGCTATGATGAGATTTCAGGTTACACTGCATTCCCCAAAGTGGTGAGACTGGAAAGATCCCCTTTTGTTGTGTTTGCTGGTGAAACGACTGCTGTGCCAATGGATTACAGTAGAGAGCAGATGTTATTTTCTGATTCCACATCTGTTCACAACGAGCCGATGATGGATGGTGAAGATAAGGATGAGAAAGAGAGTTTGGATAACCATAGAATGATCAGAGTATGTGATAAGCTAATTGAGGTCTTTATGGTCGACAAACCCACACCAACTGACTGGAGAATGTTACTTGCTTTCAGCAAGGAATGGGATAATATCCGCCCTCATTTCTATAAACGTTGCCAGGACAGAGCGGAAAGTGAGGATGATCCTGGGATGATGCATAAGCTTCTCCGGCTGGGAAGGAAGCTAAAAGAGGTCAGTCATATAATTTAAAAGTTAATTAAAAGTTACTACTTTGATGAGAGCAGTGACATTGTTTTTATATTTGTTTTAGCATTCTTATGATTTGGTGGAGTTTATGTTATACAGATTGATGAGGATGTGCAACGACACAATGAGCTGCTTGAAGTGGTCAAGGAGACACCGTCTGAGATAAAGGAAATTGTTGCTAGGCGACGTAAAGATTTCACAAAAGAGTTCTTTGTCCATCTTCACACTGTAGCACAATCCTATCATGACAACCCAACTGAGCAGGATGGTGAGGCTAAATTTTCTTTCTTTATGTCAATAATATATAGAATATTTGTATGTATTCTAATGTATATTATGTGCCTAAAAACCAAACTCAATGGATAATTTACAAAATGAGATATCTAGACTATTTTTTATATTACTGATTTTATACCAACTCTGAGTTAGGAGATTTGTCTAGTCTGCCTTTTTTGTCACAAATTTTGGCCAGTAGTTTACATATTTGATCTGATATGTGATTTGAGGTACCTAGGTAATCAATTTCCTGGAGAAGAAAACCTTAAGTGGCCAATTCTGGGCTAACCCACCCTGGCATGAGATTGCAAGTTTTACTTCATATTTTCTAATTTAAACTACAATAGACAACAAAAGGAATTTCATTTGTTTCTCTGTGGCAGCTCTGTCAAGGCTTGAGAGTATGTGCCTGGCTGCTGTGCAAGCTTATGATACTGCAACTGGAGACACTGAAGCAGTGCAAGCAGCAGAACTAAAACTCCAAGATATCATAAATTCTCCTTCTCTGGATGTTGCTTGCAGGAAGATAGACAATTTGGCAGAGAAAAATCAACTTGATTCAGCATTGGTGTTGATGATCACTAAAGCATGGTCAGCTGCCAAGGAATCTAACATGACGAAAGATGAGGTGGTTTCTGTCTATAGAAAGCCTTCTTTCTGTACAATTATATGATAGCTAAAAGAATATTACCAGGATCTCTTTCCCCTTTTTTTTTTATATGGATATTACTATGATTTTTTAAATGAATTAAATGGCACGTTGGGGTAGGTTAAATTTATCCATCATTTTGACAGCGTAGATTTAATGGAGGAGGGGGAAAGATTTCCCTAGTTGATAAAATATTGAAGCTAGATTCTAGGAGATGTTACCATATGTTTCATGAGAAAGTTAAATGAAATAAAACTTATATTATAACAACTACTAAGCAAAATTAGTAGTTACTGGAGAACGTGCCCTTCCTAACTACATTTTCATGTCTATCTTGTGCCCTCAAGATAATGGCATCAAAATGGGTCTTTGGATTTTGCAAAGCCTGAACATACTTATGAATACAAATAATAATTTCATTTACTGAAAATGATTTTTTGTTTAAAGGATATTTAAACTCATTATTTGAATCTTGCTACTGTGCTGCTTAATAATTTCTTTGTGTTTCCTTTGCTCAATTGCAGGTAAAAGATGTATTATACCATCTTTACATGACTGCAAGAGGTAATCTTCAGAGGCTCCTACCAAAGGAAGTGAGGATTTTGAAGTATCTTATTACGATTGAAGATCCGGAGGAGCGACTTTGTGCCCTAAAAGATGCATTTACCCCTGGGGAAGAACTTGAGGGAAAGGATGTAGACAACTTATACACGTGAGTATGTTGCACTGAATTATTTGAGTGCATTTTTTAGCTGTATGTTGTGTAAGAATGCTTAAATTTTTGAAGATTGGTTTCTAAGGATACTTCTTGTCCTTAGCTTGGTCCTTAAAGATTCCCTAGCTTAAAATATTTAGACATCCCTTTATTTTATTTTTCATTGTTTGCTATGTTATCTCTAAGTTATGGCATTTTGTTTTAACTGCTGTTTTTGCTCTATTTTTTCTTCCCTACAACATTAGGACCCCAGAGAAACTCCATATCTTGATGAGGAACGTGGTGGATGCATACCATTTCAGCCAAGAAGGCACTCTCATAAGGGAAGCAAGGGACTTACTGAATCCCAAAATAATTGAAAAAGTGGATGAATTAATACAGATGGTGGAAAAAAATTTCATGTAAGATGTGAGGCCAAGCCAAAGATTTCAGGTTAGAGGGAGCCAAAGCATTCTTGCCAAGAGTTTTACATATAGTTTCTGGGTATCAAGATGACAACCATGGAATGGTACCATATTCTTGTGTCTTCAACAACAGCAGAACTTGTATCTTCAAGACATTAGTCCCGTCTCACTTTTGTAGAAATTCCGGTGATAGATCAAAGTTTTGATGTCAGAATAGTGAATTGCATTCTACAGTTTTCAAATCTAATGTATCTCAAATTAATTCTTTGTTCTGAGGTTTTGAAACAGAATCATGGCAAGATTTTGGCCATATGAGTTTGTTATGCCTATTGCTAATTTCCTTCAATCTTGAGATTAAAATTGAAAGAGATGAATTTTGGAATTTGAGAAGACAAACAGAATCAAAATAATTGAATATTTGGCTTCCAGTAGGGGAGGCAAGGTCTGTCTAAGCTGCAGGGAAGAAGTCGTCTTTCCTTGCTTTCCTCAGAATAACAACATCGAAGTCCGTTATACAAAGATCCCTCTCTAAGTTTCTAACGGCTTCAGTTAAAATGTGACAATAAGAAGGAGGACAAACCAAGTTCTAAAGACAAATCAATGCAAAACTAACCAAGCCAAGGCAAGCAAGGATTCTCTCTCTAAATTAGTTTCCTCATAGAACTCTTAACTACCCAAGAAACTCGTTTGTCTTAGTTAACTGTCTTTAACAAGAACTTCTTAGTGCAAAGTTCTCCTGAATTCTACATGCAGCACTAATTAACACTAGGCTGTTCTCTCTTGACTACTCCTGAAAGTTCTTGTATCAAGCTCTATATAAACCCTAAGGAAGCATGCACAACACATAGAAACTATTCAATACATAGAGAGACAGGGGATCTGGAAGGGGAGAAAATGGCATCTGGGGCAGCTCACATGACGTTTCAGTCTGTCTTTGATGGAAGCATAACTACAAATGACACAAATATCCAGTGGAGCCCATACCACAGCAACTGTGGCTGTGCACTACACAAGTTGAAAGGTGGCAGCTCCCACGTCTGTTCGCAACCAAGGAATGTAGCATTCCCAAAGAAAAAGTGGCAAAGGGATTGTTCCTTGGCAACAGCAGGTTCTACTCTTGCTTCCTTGTCAACTACAACTTCCACACACTCTTCTCAATCTTCTCCTCTTCCTGATTATCTCTCATTGTCCAGAGAGCAAAGAAGAAATGGATAAAGGTTTCACATATATATTACAAAAATGTTTGATACATTCATACTGGAAGGAACAAATTCAATTTTCTCCCAAATTTCTGATACTGTAAATTCAGCAAACATCAATGTAGTTAAAGATGAGTCTCCTAATGAAGACTAGATGATCCCTCTTTTCGGTTTAGACAAATAGGGATGCCTTTGGCTGCTGCTATTGCTGAATGTGTCCTCTTGACAATTCTTTCAAGCTCTACAACCTTCTCCAGCAGCACTCCAGCATTTGTGTCTGTGGATTTCACCAACTTGTTTGCGGTTTCTAAAGCACTACATAGCTGAAATGAAAAAGGAAAAACATTTTAACCCAAAAGTAGACTTCTGAATTATAGTTTTATACATTGTAATAAAATCAAAGTAGTAGTAAAAGACAATGAATTTCCATTCAACATGCCATTTGTGTGTTTGAAAACAGATGATCCAATCCGGATTACCTTCAGAGTTAATCCTGTCCACGAGTGGTCTGAACCAGCAAATGCCTTGTCCAATTTATCATAATCTTCCTGCAGAGACTCAGATAATTAAGGAATCCAATTCCTCTTCTATTCGAAGGAATTAACATTTCAATTTCAAGCTTAGGGTAATCAAATTCAAAACTAAATCAAAATATTTACTTTCTAGAACTGCTAATTAATGTAAGATTTGACAGAATAGTTTAAGAATTAATTCAGAAAAATTGGAATCTCAAAACAAATAATAGAAGAATCAGTTCAGGATCTGGAAATTAACAGAATGAGCAACGTCTGTTGAAAGAGATGAACCTGGAAGAGTCTAGTGAGATCCAAGGGTTGAAGTTCAAGGGATGATGGCGACGGTGGTGATGGAAGATGTTCCGGCGGAGCAGCACCGGATTCCTCTCCGACGTCGCTTAGCAGATCTCCGATCGTTAGCAGCGGTCCTCCCACGCCCCTCATGATCCTTCCTCTCCCTTTCTCTCTCTCGATTTTGCGAATTGCGCTATTTGTTCTCTGGGCCTGGGCTTATAAGAACTGCCCCCGAGGCCCACTAAAAGGCCCATAATAATCTGTAAAAATGTCCCAAAACGAAAATGAAACTCGGAAAAAGTGGTTTTGGATTGTTTCTTCTCTCCGAGTCTCCGACTCCATCTCCGATCAGGTTGAGTTCATTGCTTTGCTTATTCTGTCAACCTTTTTTCTCCGATAACTGCTAGGGTTTCTCTGATTCTTGATGAATTTATGCGAAAGATGAGTACTTGATATGCACAGCGAGTGGATGCCCTTCTGGTCTTTTTTTTTTTTTTTTAACAAATGCATGCTAATCTTGACTGGATTGCATTTCTTTCAGGAGAGAAACAAGTTCTGAATCTTTGGGTACAAAATCAAGCAGTTAGAAGAGGGAGAAATGGCGGGCCAAGAGAATGTTAAGCAGCTTGAGGAGTGCTCGGTTTCCAAGTCAGTATCCTGCATGCTTTTCCTCCCTTTTTTTTTTTTTTTGGAATTGAATTTACCCAGTAATTATAAGTAGGGATTATTCTTCTTTTTTAGGAAAATTGCTCTTTCAAAAGATTTATTTTATGGATTAGTGGTTGAATGCCAAATATTGTTCTTTTTTTATGATGCAATTAGTTTTCCTTGCAATGGATGTGGAGTTGTCATGGGAATTAAGAGGAGGGGGATTGGGCGGATTGGGGCTTTGCTTGTATTTTTGATGATTTGGTAAAACAAAAAATGGGCTCTTTGATGCTATGTTTCTACTTACTCTAAAATGCTGTTTTTGCCATAAGTGAGGGGGTAACATGTTTAACAAATTATGGAAGAAATTTGATTTTGGGGTTAGTGAAGCGCAATTAGCTAATTTATTTGCTTACAGTAACACTTTAAACTGTTTTCAGACCTCTGAAAAATAATTGTTTTGCATTCTGATAAGCTGAAAACAGCAAGTTGTAAAAGCTCATCCTATCTACCATTGAGAACAAACTTAGCTTAGATCATTCAGTCAGGTGCAATGGAAGCACAGGGATGTCATTTTGTAAGAGTGATATCATTAAGATGGAAGGAACGAAGAGGGAAGAGGCGCACCAAATATTGCATGCGCTGAAGTTAAGACTTAAGACTCTTTTAGATCTTAGTGGGAAATATGGTCCTTGATTAGAGGGATGAATTATTGGCCAAAAAAATAAAGAAAGAGTAGATGGATGGATTATTGAGAATAAAGATTTGTGTAGGTAACTAGTTTAGAACTAATGCAATCATGGGCTTAACTTGAGCAGTGTTGTGTTCCAAAGAAAAGAAGTTGAAAAGGTGGTTTACAGTCTTACCTATTTGGAAACAAGGGTCAAATTATTGCTGCACACTGTTGCCAACTTGCCAACTCAAACTAACGTAATCAAGAAGCCAACAACTACCTCTATTTAATTGATATAATGACGTCTATGTCAACTGTGGGTGTTCTATTCAAGTTTGTCTTTTTACTTGAATTGTTGGTTCTTGGGTTTTATATGTATTTGACTTGTTGATCATTAGCTCTATTGCGTGACAAATGTTATGTGGAGTTTCTTCAGCGCATTGGGCACGTGGGTATTTTCAGTAGCAGGAGCTTTGCTAGCAATTCCAGTGGGGATAAAACGCAAATCTTTAGCACCTTTAGTGTTCTTTGGAACCACTGGTACAATGCTTGATATCATTATGGGAATAAGTGCCTGTGAAAGGGAGCATGCTGAACGCCAGATGAAGCTCTTAGAAGCCCAAAATTCTGCAGCTGATTCTTCTACCCAAGAGACAGAGTCCGAGATATCTAAGCTTAGGTAAGCCATGTTACGAGTTTGAATGCTCTTGCCCTGTCTCTTTAGCTTGTTTGAGCATAAAAGAAAATTAGCATTTACTATAACGTGCTGGAAAGCCTTATTTTCATGGAAACGCTTTGTTTTGATTATATACAGTTTGCCATGGCCAAGTAGCTGTCATAGCATGAATAAGAAATATGAATTGTCTCAAAGGGCGATTTGTAGTTCAATGACTTCCATTTGTTTCTTTTTTCCATTTTGATATTGCGCGAAGCGATTTGAAGTTTTGAACTCATCACCAAGGCGAGGGTAAAAAAGCAGCTAATGTTATTCAATGCAAAATAGATAACAATACAAGGAGCATATATAGTTCAATCACGGGAAATCAATCTAAATTACAATATTCAGCCACCCAAATCAAAAAACTTTTGGGTTGCAGTGCATTCTAAGAAGATAGCAATAACACAGCATAAATTCGACTTCGAGCTCGTTCTCATGCTTGATATTGGAGACGAGTCATCATCGAATAATGCTTGGAATGGAACTGGCCAATAAAAACAAGGGCCAATTTCCAAAGGAGCGGCTTTGTTAAAAACAGCCACGAGAACCCCCGCCTGCTATCTAAACTTCCATCAGATGGCATATTGCTAAATAAAGGCAAATAATGAATAAAAAAAACACCCAAATTAAAATTAAAGCACCGGCTTTCCTTCTCTTTATCCCCACTAAACTGCTATTTGATCTATATATGGTACTGCTTCTCCCAAGCCAATTTCTTTAACATCTCCTTAAGGCCAATACTCCTTGGTTGAGTGCCTTATCATCGCTTCCAAGTCATGAATTACCTCAAATACGAACTCATGTATAGTCGTGCCCTAATATCAAGGGGTCCATCATCCCCACCAACTGCATTAAGTGCCACAGGAATTGTTGAAAGAAGACTAACTGTTAAGGGGAAAGTTCCAGGATCAATTGCAGTCCTCGTATTAGGCACCAAATCTTGAGGTGCACCCTCACCATCACCCATACACCTTACACAACGCCCACACATTGTCTCTATGTCTGATTCTGCACTTAGGTCATAAGGGTTTACAATCCATGCAACACTTTCAAGAGCCTTGGATATTCTCTTAATGCGTCTGTGGGTGGATAAACCAAGCACCAATGTAGATGTTGACTCAAGCCATTCCACAGTCAGGCCTTCAATGTCTTCATAGTATATCCGCCGTTCAATCTGGAAGAACTTAAGAGTTAGCATTGAAAACCCCAAAAAAGATATATGATGCAGCAAGAATTAAGGAGAATATAAAGAGAAACAACTCACAGCTAGCTTGTGAACATAAATTGACATGAATTTTGGCCCCAGACCAAGTACTCGAGCTTCAGACAACAAAATCTGCAAAGCCAATACTTCATTAGCCAATGCATAGAGAGCTCATAGTTAAACACAGACTACATACTATCTGCTGAAAAGAGAATAGAATACCTCTTTCTTCTTTAGCAAAAACCATGTATAGAGTTTATCACATGCATCCTTAACTTGCCTAGCAGCCAGCTTTCTGTCATTGCAGTGCGCAGCAACACCAGCAAGTACTTCTGTGCAAGGAATTCTATGTTTCAATGCTGCAGTTGATAAGGCCTCCCTTCCTTGTTGGGACTCTGCAGCATCCTTATCAAAACAAATACCAGTGAAACACCCTTGTGAAACTTCATCTAAATGTTCAGCTTTCACTGACCTTATTATATGCTTCAGATATAATTCCTCAGCATCAATAACAGCAGCTATGGTCCGATGCACAATGATATCAGGATATCGATGGAGTGGTGAAGTAAAATGTGTATAAAGAGGGACAGCCAGGGCATAATGACCCCAGTCATCCACATTATCTTTTAATTCACCGCTACAAAAGTAGGTTGCTGGTTGCATGGGCTTTAAAGCATATAATATAAGAATATCAAAGAGCATAGAATCATTTTTCAGCCTTTCCCTTAATTTTTCTAAGGATCGATGAAATTGACCAGAGGAGGAAGTGTCCAATTCCAGATCATTTATCTGACAAAATGCTTCCAACTCTCTCAGTTTCCTCATGTTAGGTTCAGGATGCCTCCGCAATAACGCACTACCTGGGAAAGCTCTTGATATGACTTCTGCTGCTGTTGTATTTGCCAAAAGCATGAACTCTTCAACAAGAAAATTTGAATCTGTCTGCTCATTTATCACACTATCATATGGAACCCCATATTCATCAAACAAGAAATCAACTTTAAAACCATCAAGCTGTAAAGCCCCACCCTCAAATCTCCTCTTCTTCAAGGTTTTTGAAATTTCATGAAGACATTTAACAGATTTGATTACATCAAGAAGCTCAAAATGGCCATGCAACTTGGGAAAACCCCCTGGTGAATGAAAATCCTGCCCATCGATGATGTCTTGAGCATGTTTATATGAAAGCTTGCAACAAGACCTAATAACAGTGCGAGCAACCCAACGATCCACTACATCCCCAGAACTTTTTAACTCCCAGAAAATAGAAAATGCTAGTCTATCCACTCCAGGATTAAGTGAACCAAAATTCTCTGAAAGCAATGGGGGCAACATCGGTAGTTTTCCCCTTGACATGTATATACTGGTCGATCGAACCTGAGCTTCTACATCTAATGCTGTTTCTGGTAAAACAAAATATGAAACATCAGCAATGTGCACACCAACTCTAAAAGTTCCAGCAGGCAGCCTTTCAACTGATAACGCATCATCGAGATCGGTGGCAGTTGAAGGATCAATAGTAAATACACATAAATTCCGAAGATCTTTTCTTCTCAGAAATTCCTCCTGTGGCAACTCCCAAGGAATTTGCGGGAGGCAAGAAAGTGATTCAGGAGAGAAATCAGCACAAATAATTGAATTTTCATGCATTATTGCACTGATATGTGGTCCTAATTCACCAGCCTTTCCAAAAGTATGCAAAACACAGGCCTGTGGAAAAGGACTTTCTTCACTCCAATCATCAATTTGTGCAGCCACCAGTTCCGTCTCAACTGCTGCATCACCACTCTCAAATCTTTTCTTGATACATTCAGGTAGGTCTCTAGCAAGGACTACCATTTTGGGAACTTTTGGATCAGTTGGTGTTAGATGGATATATTCAAGGTCAGAAAAAGACAAACAGCTCTTATTCTTTGCATCTTTTTTGTAAGAAAACCACTGCTTAACATTAAGGAAACCAACAATAGCATCTCGCCGAGTAGACTTTTCAACAATGGCTAAAACAATGCCAGTTGGTCTCTTTGCTGGGGATGAGCTAACCATGGCAGCCAACCTAGCCACAGCATCTGCACCCTCATTCTGCCTAACAGAAGAACTTTCACAGGAAGAATCTGAAGTGGATGGTTGATGCCCATTAACATAATTATAAGCTGCTGATCCAGCCGCTTCTATTTTATCCTCGTCGTTCTCACAATCTGCATGCATCTTACTTTTCCCCTTGTTACTGGAAGCAACAGATTCATTGACTTCTGGGGGTAAACTATCCTCTCCCTGTGCAGAATGGTTGGACAACCCACTCCCAGTTGACCCTTTCATCTTGGTCCACAAAGGAAAAGCATTGACCTTAATGACCACAGTGTCTCCTTCAACCTACGTGCAAAGACACAGCTATGAAGAATCCCATTTCCATTCCCCATAGAGAAAAGTAGAGTACTTTATGAAAGAACATCAACATCTACCATTAACAGGGAGAACATAAAATGCAGTATTTCATGAACATCTTGTCATAAGAAATATGGATAAACCAAAAGTAGCATTCCCTACTTACAGCTCTATTCTGTGCAGCAATTCCATTGATGAGAATATCTGTTGGTACGCCATCAATTTTGCAGTAGGCCTACCACAGAAAAGATCAGTTATGCATTTTACCTAATCAGCATTTATGGTACGTGAAGCATGAGAAAACAAAATGAGACTTTTATCACAAACCTCTAGTTGATTATAAGCATTTACACGAAACAATGCTTTAAAAGCTTCACCCTTCTGCAAAAGAAAAGGAGGGAAGGGTAAAAAAATAATAATAATAACAATAAGAAGGAAAAGAACACTCAGAAATAACCCAAGTCTCTTCCTCCGTCGTTGACCCCATGGATACACCAAAAAATCCATATCAAAGTAGAAATATTAAACTTGTTGTCAGCACAAAATTAAGTGCAATCTTCACACGAACCTCTAATGCATCAGTTACAGCCTCAATAGGCCAATGTGGAGCGAAGAGTTTACTCTGAGTGGAGGCATTGTTCCGCTGAGAATGAAACAAGCTGTGTGTGCAGGTTCCGGATGAACTTTCCAATGCAATTGGATCAGGACATGACTTTGAAAACACTCCATCATCAGTAACTAGGTGCTGGTCTTGCCCACTTCTCCCATCACCCAGCTGAGCTCCTTCATTAAAATGCATTATCGGCATAGAATTAAATGGTTTAGCCAGTCTCTCCTCATTTGGAATACGCTTCTCCAGTCCTTTCTGCTTTGGAGGATCATAACTCATATCTGCTCTGGAACTTTTTCTCTCAATACCACTTTTCAAGTCTTCCGATGCCTCTACAGGTGTTTCATTTACTAAAACAGACGCTGCAGCTGTGAAGAACAAAAATTAAGACAATGAACAACTGAACATCCAAGTACGAACTCAGAACCAGAAAGAATCAACTCCGAAATCGAAAAAACAAATCTCTGCTCCGATTCACAGATTCTATATCTATAGAGATGACTTGAATTTACAGTAATCAATCTATAATTGTACAAAAAAAGGATCTCGATGAAATCAAAATTTGTTCAAATTATAATAAACGTAAGATAATTCACCTGAGTTGTGCTTGGATCGACGATTAGATCGACGCTTTTTCTTCTTTTCCTTGTCGGCATCCTCTACCCTCTCAACACTCGCAGATTGCTTAACGACGCTCCTCATATATTCAGCCAAATTCCAAAACTGAATTAAGAAATATACTGCAAAAAAAAAAAAATAATCCGGCAACAACTTCCGATGAGTAAAAAAAACATATACGGAAGGGACCGGAAAAGGAAAATGAAACGGTAGGGGAGGGGGAGGAAGAGGAAATGATCGGAGCAAAGAGCGCCGAAGGAGGAGACGGAGAGGTTTTTTTATTTTTAGTTTTTCAAGGAGAGGAATTGAAAGTGACGTGAAGAGTGGTCGGCGTAGACATTGGGCGCCGACTGTTTGATTCCTGACTCCTTTTTTCTTCACCTTTTTTAACTTTTTTTTTTCTTTGGTTAATTGTCAATTTTGGTTCCTCAACTTTAAACTTTTACATAATTTTAACCCTTAACTTTTTTTATGTGTTTTTTAATTCTTTAACTATAAAAAATATAATTTTGTAGTTTTTTTATTAATTAATTTATTAAATTTATCTAAATATTTATATTTTTAATCTTTTAAATTAAAGTTAAAAGATAAAAAATGTTCATTTATTAGAAGTTGAGGAATTAAAAAAATATATATTTAGATAAACTTAATAGATTAATTTATAAAAAGATAAAAAAATGTATTTTTCAAAGTTAAGGACCAAAAAATTATATACAGAAATTAAGGGTTCAAAATTAGATAAGATCTTAAACCTTAGAGGTCAAAATTGACATTTAACCTTTTTTATTTTTCTTTCTACTTGTTAACTTTCTCTTTTTGTGGAGTTGAGGATGCTGGATCATTAGACACGTGTAAGGTGTGTATCTGATTGGTTTCTAACTTAGGACGTGTTTGGTATGGTACGGATCGGTTTCTCTTGAATTTATAAAGCCGAATTCGGTTGGCTTGACTTCCGAAATTAATTTTTGGGGCTTGAAAATCAATGCTACTATGCCTAGTTGATTATATTGATTATATTGCAACGCTTATGC